CAGGCCTGGCACATTATCTTTTCCTAGAAATATCTGTGCAGGGACAGTGAGTGACAGTCCTTCCAGAGAATGTAAACAAAGCCCTGGGCTCCTTTAAGACTGCTTCCTGTGGCACTCTGCTCTGGCCTGGACTGTGTTTATCACAGCCTGAGAACTTCACTAAAGATTTAAGAGCCAGGAATCATGGTACGAGCATAGTTGTGGGGTCAGTGTTCACAGAAGTACGGTAACGGTCTGCTGTGTTCTCAGTTAGGGGTCGTAGCACACGTTCTCATTTCCCAGATGAATCTGCTGGACAGACACTGGCTGTGAGTGGAGGAGAGTGGAAATGGGGCATATCCAGTGAACCAGAATAGAGTTAACTAAGCCTTACGAAGGGCCTTAGTCGATGTGGTCTGGCAGGTGTCTTTCACACACTGACAACTGGTCAGTATTCGCTGGGTCTGGGCTCACCAAGGACAGCAGAGTGGAAATGAGTGGTGAGCAGTAAATCCTGAATGCTGAAACATTTGGACACGGTGCCAATGCAAAGGGCACAAGTGCTCCCAAGTCCGTAGAGAAGGTGAAGAAGACTAGGTATTGGATAAAGGAGCAAAATAATGTCATACGACCTATTTAATAGAGGGCATCTAACAAAGTTGCCAACAGGCCAGCAGTAAGGGTATAAGGGGAGAACTGCGCTCATCACGGAGGCCTGATAACAGGAAAGTCTGGAAAGAAAACAACTAGAGAAGAGAGACAGAGAAGGGCTACAAGATGACAGTTCATAAAGGTCAGCAGGAGTGAAGAGAGTGGGAGAAAGGAAAGGTGCATGAGCAGAGGTAAGAGGCCAAAGGTCAAAGGTCAGAATGCAGGAACTATGGAATGGAAACACCTGCACTCTTAGAAAGTTAGTGGCACAGCCATGTTGGAAAGTACCCAAGCACAGTGGAGATGAACAGCCTTGGAGGGGAGGATGAACAGAACCTAGGGATGACAGGTACTAAAGTTCACTAATGATGGCAGCAGAGATTGTGGAACAGTGAAAACTACTGCCTGGTACTCAAGACAGGGATGACGGAAGAGTGTAGAGAATACTGTGAAGTGCAGAGATGAAGATGCAGGTGGCAGCATGAGACACTGAGCTGGGCTTTGGAAGCCGGAGAAGATCTGCAGAAAGGTAGGCATGAGTTAGGCTAACATGAGTAGGGAAAGGCATAAGGAATTAGGCTAGAGATAAAGACAGAAGTCACCTAACTACAAATAGGTAATTATGGTGGTGAATGGAGGATTTCAGGCCAAGAGGGAGAACCATAACTTGCCCACTCATAGCTGATGTGCTCACAAGGTAGCAGCAGCCAGGGAGAGTGCACCTTTACCCACTAACCTGGCATTTGGTGCTGAAGTTAAAAAGTGAAGGTTTTTGACTGAAATCCCAGCACCTAGGAGGCTGAGGCAGGAGGACTGCCATGAGTTCAAGGCCAACCTAATGTACACAGTGAAACTCCATCTCAAAAGAAAACAACGCTGAGAAGTAGAGATCTACCATCTTGTGCACATACAGATGTCCTTTCATAAAACATTGTGTGGCCAGTGAAGAGGGTGTGAGGAAGCATGCCCCAAACACTGAAGATTTTATAAAATAATAGTTATGTTTCTATGCCTTCACAGTCATTAGAAGGTCTTCATTTTGAAGGAGCTGATTAAAGAAGATAAAACACACACTGCCATTCAGTTTATCACACAGCTAGCTCCATTGATGGACGTTCTAGAACATTCTGTCATTGTTTTCATCACAGATTCAGAGAAACACTCTGGACATCCTCTAACGGCAATTGGGAGAGGTATGACATGAGTACTTACATTCTGTTTTTCATTTTAGTAACAAATACCATTATCTATTTTAATCATGCGTTCACATAAATGTTTCCCCATACCCTGATCTTAAATATTCTGTTGTGCCCTCTTGATACACTGGGGACTTCTGTAATCTTTGCCCATAAAAATCACAAGCTTTTCTTGCTTCTTTTCCTTTTTTCCTTTTACCATTTTGATATTTTAAGTCCCAAGAAAAGCCATTATTAATCAATATGAATTAGGGGCTGCTCCTCAGTATTCCACCATAATATGCTGAACAGACTCACAACTGAGAAGTTTCAAAGTATCAAGAAATGGCTCAAATGAGACCACACAGGGTGGGGAACCCTTGGAGTCTACTACTGAAGCAGGGGTCATATAATTCCAAGAATCTGAGCAGCGTGCAGTGAGCTGGCTGGCATTCTCTGACAGAGAAACTTCTCATTTTTAGACTTTCAGGCATGGACAAAGGACCTGTGTTTCCTTCAAAGTCAAGGTTATTAGTAAAAGTCAGTGTTGGCAAAGAGAGAAACCATTCCACGTGTAGTTACTGCACATTTGAAGTATAGTTGCTCTGAGATGGGCTGTGAGTGTCAAATATATATTAGATTTCACAGATTTAGTGTAAGAAAGCATGTCATCTCATTCATATCTTCAATGTTTTATGCTAAAATTTTAAACCATTGTTAAATATTAATCAAACACTAAAATAATAATTTAGACATATTAGGGTTTAACTAAAGATATGATTAAAGTTAATTTTTATATGTTTTAAAATATGACTTCCTGACATTGCATACACAGTTCTCAGACAGTTCCTATCAGGCAGTTGGTGGCCATTCTACAGAGGGCTGGCACTTTCCACATGAGCCACTAGGAGGCAGTGGTCAGGGCTGCTCAATTAAAAAGACAGAGGTTTCTCTGGTCCAAACTATAGTGTCCTCATTTATTAAATAGGAATGGTGAGTGGCTGCCTCTTAGGAACAGTCAGACCTATGCTGCTCATATGCAAAGAGTGAGCATTGCATTCTACACTACAGAAAGAAGCATGGTTTTATAAAGCAAACTGCAATAACTCAAAAGCTGAATCCAGAGAGGATCAGGGCACAGATGCTGAAGAAACAATAAATCCTGGCACTTGACCCCACATTTGCAACATTCTCACCCTTTTCTTGATTTCTACTCATTACTCCTGGCCCAGCAGCCCATTAGGGGAGCAGAGGTCAGCTCAGATCTGGTCTACATGCAGAGCAACCCTGCAGCTTTCTGCACCACCTTCCTCTGTCACTCAGCAAGCAACCTCCACATAATGAAAATAAACTGAACTGTTTCCTTCAGAAAGACTATTAGGAAGTCTACACAGGGCCAAGGCAGGCTCTTATACAGCTTTATATTATGTAATCTGAAGCTGGGGAACTATTTAGGAAAAACAGGAATGTAGCATAAACAAGACAAGGAAAGTGCAGAGTTCAGTCCTGGGTCAGTCACAAGCCTAGGTCAGGGTCACATAGCTCTTGGAGGAGCCTTGGGTTCCTTATCTGTAAAATGAGATGAAGATGGTAACCCTCTCAGCTCAGGTTGTTTTAAGAATTACATAGTATAGCTATACACACACACACACATATTACAAGTAGATTGTATATATAACTTACGTTAGTTAGAAAGTACTACACAAATGTTAGCTATTAACATGTTTTCATTCACTAGATTCTGAGACTCACACTAAGACATGGCTGCTTCTCCCTATGCATGGCACTTCTTAGAATCCCCATTTCCTCTTCTCCACTCACACTGAGGTCTCATTGGAAGAACACCATTAAAAACAAAAGGCCCCAGAAACCATTCTAGTCTTACATGGATGTAAAGCCATACTACTGATCTGGGTGATAACTTATTTACTGAGAGGGGGAAGCCTTATGCCGGTAACTCTGTAGCTTTCCTCGCTGCAAAGCAGCCATCACTACATTCTAAAGCATGCTTTCCTATAGTTTTAACTCAGACGTAATTATTGAAGAGGTCAGTGGAGACAGACTGGGTGGAAGATTAACATCTTCAGCTTGGTCCCCAGCAGGAGGAAACAGGACAGAACCACTGCCACAGAGCTATGTTGTCCAATTTGAGCACAGAACTCTGGAGAGCATTCTTGACAAGGAGTCTTACTGTGTAGGCAGCCATTCAGGTTAGCTTCTTAGGAGAAAAAAAAAAAACCTCATTGAAAAGATTTCTGAAACTAGTGCTATAGAAGCTAATTACCTAAGGAGATATCTGTGAGATTTTCTACCCACTCACTGAGCCACAAACAAAGCACACATAGACACTCTAGTAACGTTCAAACTCAAGTCCTTACAACTTCACACAAAGACACAGTGTTCACAGAGGCTCTAAAGTGAAATAAAAGTGCTGCCTGCAGCTAGTTAGCTGTCTCAGTAACTAGACTTCACCCTTCTCATGTGTTTTAATATGTTTTATTTTATTTTTTAAGATTTATTTTTATTTATGTGTATGTGTCTGTGTATGTTCACACATGTGTGGGTGCCTGTGGAATCCAGAAGATGGCGTCAGATTCCCTGGAGCTGGAGTTACAGGCAGTTATGAATTACTCAAAGTGGGGGCTGGGAACTGAACTCTGGTCCTTTGCAAGAGCAGTTCCTGCTTTTAACCAATGAGCCATCTTTCCAGCCCCTCCTGAGAATTAGTCTAACTCCAAACAAGCCTGGCTTTTTTTTTTAAACTTTAATCCACACTGAGCATGAATCCTGGTCAGGACCTTCATTTTACACTCAGAGAACTCTGCTTTCCTGGAGGTCTATTGTGGAATGTTCATCTTGGAATGGTTGTACCCCCTAGAGTCCTTCATAAAGGTTCACAAGGGACTAGAAGCATAGGAAAGCTCTTTGTAGCATCCCCTTCTTTGTAACACAGCACATGCTAAGTTTCTTTGACTTTGTAACCCTTCTCCATTCCCTGTGACAGACAACCAATCTATGGGCTGATCCCAGAAAGACATTCTGAGAAATATAGCTTTTAACTAACAAGAAATAGAATTAATTGCCAACGAAAGTGTGAAAACTATTCATCGCTAGGAAGAGGCATTGGTAGCACAATGAAACAAGTGTCTCTGGAACTCTCCAGGCCACCCAGCCAGCAGAAGCCACTCTCCTTACTTCAGGAGATTCCCCAGATTGAAGAGTGCACGGTTGTGCTGTGGATGGAGCTGCAGTGCCCTCTGGTAGTACATCTTTGCTTCTGCCATGTCCTTTGTCAGTGTCCCAAGGTTGTTCAGCGCACTTGCATGGCGTGGGTACAGCCTGGAAAATCAAAGTGTTAAACTTAGACTTCTAAACAGGTATCCCAAGCATACCACAGCCCAAATGCACCCTGAACGTTTCCTTGTAATGGGATGTCTGTGTTATATCTAAAGGCCAAGTGCTTTTGCAGCTGTAGGTATCTAAATAAATATAGCAAGAAGCAAAACCTTTTAACTCAGAGGTGTAAGTAAATAAACCCCAACACAGCAAGAGTAAATAAAATGTTAATTTATATCAATAAACACATTTCAGTCCCTCAGAAGCTGATTACACTCCTTTGCCAAAGAATCTTCCCTGCCCTGGGTGGGAACTTTCTGTTGAGGTCACACAGCTACCCTGTTCAGTGCTTTCAGCTGGTGTGGGGTCCCCCCTCAGGGAGGGAGCTTTTCAAATATCTTTGGATCAGAACCTAATAATACTGCTTCAACCAAGAAAGGATGGAACTCACATGTTTCCTCATAAAAAGAATCACTTGTTATGGAATATTAGTTAATGATGTGTTACATTCTTTTATGATGTGGAGCATTTGTTTAATGATGCAAAGATGTGTTGCATTCTTTTATGTTGCATTTATTTAACTTTGTGAATCTGTGTTACTTTGCCTGCCTAAAATACCTGATTGGTCTAATAAAGAGCTGAACAGCCAATAGCAAGGCAGGAGAGAGAAATAGGTGCGGTGGCCAGGCAGAGAGAATAAATAGAAGGAGCAAAAGAAGGAAAGGACTCCAGGGGCCAGCCAGCCACACAGAAAGAGATGGAGTAAGAAGTAAAGAAAGGTATATAGAAAGATAAAATCCCAGAGGCAAAAGATAGATGGGATAATTTAAGAAAAGCTGGGTAGAAACAAGCCAAGCTAAGGCCAGGCATTCATAAGTAAGAATAAGTCTCTGTGTATTTATTTGGAGCTGGGTGGCGGGCCCCCACAGAGTCAGAGAGTAAAAAGTAAAGAGTAAAACCAGCTGTATTTGACCTTGACCCTCTTTCTCCGTTCTCCCTCACTTTCCTTCCACTGGGCTTGATATGGTTCTTAAAATCCTGAGAACTTAAAACAGCTCAGACACAAAAATTAGCATGCAATGAAGTAAAAGCCAGCCTTCCTAAAATTCAAAAGAAACAAAAAGCAGGGTGGCATATGTATTAGCAAACTAAATTATCCATACATTAAGGGAGGGAGGGGTCAGTTCAGTCTTTCATTCAATATGGTAGAACCACCACACAGTCAGCCCTTTCTGACCAATCTGGAATGGACATACTTAGCAGGCTAGAAGACTTCCTCCACCTGTCATTTACCCATAGAGTTGACTTTTAATGCAGAAAAGCCAAGACAATGCTCACCCCAGTATGTGCTAATGCAAATGCAATTTGCAATTTTGCTAATGCAAAATTTTGAAGCATTTTCTCATATATCACCTCATTTAAAAATTCCTTGTGTAACGCTTTACCATCAAGGAAAGGAAGGCTGGGGAAAAATGAGCTAAAGCAGCAGATCTCTCTCGATCTCTCTCTCTCTCTCTCTCTCTCTCTCTCTCTCTCTCTCTCTCTCTCTCTCTCTCTCTCATACACACACACACACACACACACACACCCCAGAAACACTTGTTCTCTTAGGTGTTAAAAAGGCAAATTATTCCTGCTGATCCATTTGTTTTCCCAAATAATATACGAGTCACTCAACCCTCAGCAAATAAATGAATTGCTATGAATTAGAGCTTCTATTTAGAATATTTTTATTATTTCCTCTGAACAAGTTGTGGTGTTACTGTGTTCCCTGAAATATTGTGCACGCTAATAAACTTATCTGGGGTCACAGAACAGAACAGCCACAATATTAAACATAGAGGATAGGCAGTGGTAGCACACGCCTTTAATCCTAGCATTCCAGAGGCAGAGATCTACCTGGATCTCTGTGTGTTCAAGGATACAGCCAAGCATGGTGACTCATGCCTTTAATCCCAGAAAGTGAGCCTTTAATCCCAGGAGTGATAGCAGAAAGCAGAAAGGTATATAAGGTGTGAAGACCAGAAACTAGAAGCTTTTGGTCGGTTAAGCTTTCAGGCTTTCGAGAAGCAGTTCAGCTGAGATTCATTCTGAATGAGGACTCAGAGGGATCAGCTGAGGAATTGGCGAGGTGAGGAAGCTGTGGCCTGTTCTGTTTCTCTGATCTTCCAGCATTCACCCCAATACCTGGCTCCAGGTTTGTTTTTATTAATAAACCCCTTTAAGATTCCTACAACAGCAAGTCACTTAAATTATGACCAAAGAGGAACTAGTTCTCAGAGGGGGAAGTGAAATCAATGCAAAATGTAAGGGGATGGCTTCAAAAATACTTATTTACTACAAAATATTTGCCCGCCCCCCATCTTAAAATCATCATGACTGTTAGGTCCAAAATAAACTCCACACAAATGGCTATCTGTGGTGCTGTTAGGATACCAAGCACATGCTGGCCACCAGGCTCTATCTGTTACTGAGTCTGGTGTGGGCTATTTAATCATACTGTGACACTCTGAGACTGTTAATAAAATCAACCTTGGATCAGGTGTGGAGCCAGCGACTAGTTGACAAGAATTAGTCATAGAGAGTGTGGAGGACCCAGAAATATGGATAGGGAGACCCACAAAAAGGAGTAGGGAGGGACTTAGAGAAGAAGAGATGCTCTCTTGCTGTGTCTCCAGCCAAAAAGGAAGGTCAGTTGGTTGCTTCTCGGCTTCTCTGAGCTAGCAGTTTCTCACCCCAATATCTGACTCCTGAATCTTCTTGGTAGATAGAGTAACTTAGATAAAAATAACAGGAGTCCTTGCTGGCATCTGTGAGAACCAAAGTTACATTCTAAGTTTTAATTACAGTGCCTATGAGATCCATGAAACAAAAACACCTCTGATCTGCAAGCCTCTTGCCTAAGGACAGATACTTCCTGAAATGCTGGAGGCTGTTTTTTATGGGAGGTAACAAGGCAAGTCCATTTGACCCATCTGTGCCTCACATGCTCGATCACATGTGGGCAGGAAATACGTCAGGACGTGCGCTTACCACTGATTGGACCCCATGGGAAATGTGGTGAATCATGAGTTTTGCCTTTTTAAGCTCCAGCAAACTGTGACTTGGGGCTATATTCCAGAAACCCAGAGATAGATCTGGCCAGAAAGTCCATCAACTTGACCAATATTTAATTAAAACTTGCTTCGAATTTGGCTTTAAATTGTAGTAGTGGTCTTATTCTCCACTGGTGGGATTAACACACCCTGGCTCTTCTTGGCTCTTCTTATCCATTCCCTACCCTAAACCTCTCCAGCTCATGGGCTTCGCTTCCCTAGCGTCGCACTCCCTCATAACCCTACTGTTTTGGCCACATGCTCTCTTAGCCCCTCCTCCGTGGTCTCCTGCACCCTTATTCTCTGTCTCCCTCTCTTGTTCTTCCTCTCTCTCTCTCTCTCTCTCGTGAACAAGTCCATTTCTGCTGGCCATGTTCTGTCTGCTACTTCCTCTCCCTGCCCTGGACACCTCCAGATGGCTCTGGCTATACTCTCCTTCATGTTTACAATAAAAACCTTCCCCTCAACCATACCTTGGAGCGGTCATGTCCTCAGTTTATACCATTATCTCTTCAAGAAGCACACACTGTTTGGGAACTAGCTAGAGTCAACAACACTCAGTAGCCCATAAGAAGAGAACTCCTGCTTTATGAGTTTCTGTTTGTAAGGTTTGTATGTGTATAAGTGTGTACATGTAGGTGTGTGCATGTGTCTGTGCAGGGAGGATGCTTAGTGTCCTGCTCTATCACTCTCTGTCTGATTTCTTTGAGGCAGGGTCTCTCGCCAAACCTGGAGCTAGGCTGGTGGCCAGAAGCCCCACTAATCCAGTCTCCACCCACACAGTGCTCTGGGGTTATAGGCATAAGCAGCCATACTTGGCTTTTTGTGTGGGTCATCACCCTTGCTCCTCAAGAACTCTTGCCCACTGTGCCCTGTCTGTAAAGGCCCATAGATATAGCTGTTTGAGATTAAAGTCTGGGATTATATTTTGCTTTACTCATGTATTTTAAAATTTAAAAGTTAAAAATTTAAAGGTTTAAAAGGGTAAGTTTTACCCTTTCAGTACCTTACCAGTAATTTTATTGTTCAAATAACATTGATTTATGTGTTATAGTTTGCAACTCCCTTCCAGAGCCATACACACCTAACCAAGTGTCTGATTTTCATGCCACACATAAATTTATTTGAGGTTAACTAAGGTTGGTTGTTTATTTTCTATTTCCAGTTGAGAAAAAAATATCATAAAGGAAAACATGACTAGGAAAATCTACCTCTACAAATGAAGCTCAATTTCACTTCCCTTCAGGCATGGACAGACTGTTAATTCTGCATATTTTAAGAGCTTGGTTCCTTCTGTGCCATCAATTCAATCATCCTGTCACCAGCGGCCCTAGGTGACACTGGTGATCTTCCCAGTTGGCTTCTGACTGTATGAAATGATTACCAGCACTTAACCTGCACTGCTGCTTTCTTCTCTGACTGTATGAAATGATTACCAGCACTTAACCAGCACTTAACCTTTTTTGCACTGAGTTCCCGACCCCTTGAAGAAAGCCTTAGGGGCTGAACAGGACCTCTCACCTCCTTCACCTCAGTGACCTCAGGGCTGCTGTGGAGGGACTCCACCCAGGGGTTTGGCTGAGGCTCCTCAGAGTGAAAACATTTTCTCCAAGCTCTCAGGAAGTGAGTCACTTGTAAATGGTTGTATTGTCCTGATTCCAGAGGTTTCACTTCTAAGGGTGGGAAATCTACTGAACTAACACTTCTCTTCCCTTTTCAATAGGAATGGGTGAGAGTGATGAACTTTGGATTGAGTGGCAGAGTGAACAGGAAACTGGTCCATGGGGAAAATACTAGACTAGGGGACAGATGTCAGCAGCATGATGCTGAGTATGCGTGTGAGTAAATTGCTTCTATAAAGTTTCCGTGTGAATGAATGAGATGATGGGCATAAAAACACCCATCATC